CTTATTTATAAATTTTTCCCTTTGATCATAAGACATGCTTCCGGCCACAATTTAATTGTTTCACACGATGAAAAAATAATACATATTTATAAATAGTGATACGGAGTACTAAGTTTTAAGTCATTAAGGTACAACTCCACACAATCTTATATTGTTACCAAAATATTCCTATATAACAAGTGACCGACAACGCGTGTGACAAATCAAAAGTATCGAACCAACTTTACATCCCTAGTTTCAACAATATTAAGATCAAAAAGAAAGAAAAGGAGAGGAAAGGGAAAAATTTCTCTAAGCCTCAATTCCTAGACAGGGGGTTCCACACAATTTCTTGATAACGTTTTAGTAACCACTCAATTGGTTCCCTACTCAATTTTTTTATTTTTTAAATTGTGCACGTGGACACACTTTTGGGAAGGTTTCTAGCTTGAGTAAAGCCAAATGTACATAATAGTGTGAAGTTTCACAGAAGTTTTACCAATACTGACAAGGGTAGGGCCCATTGTAATAAAAAATGAAAAAAAAAAACCCCTTGCATTTGTGAGTAAATGTGAACCAACCACCACACCCCACCTGTGAACCTCATTCTGGTAGCCAAACATGGTTCTTCTAGCTTTTGGTAGTGACGCTAATAAAGATTTGGAAGGATTTTCTGAAGAAACATGTGACATGTAGAATTACAAGTTACTAGATAATATTGTACTCTCGAAAATCGACCATATTATCGAAGTCAAATCGAACATGTTGAGACGACGATAATTCCTGTTTGATGAAATTAAGAAATATTGAGAACAAGGAAAAAAATGTTCCACCTAACTTAACAAGAAAAATTGGTATATCCATGCACAATTATTAATCTAGACCAAGTTATTGGAATCTGAACTACTCGATTTTCCAATGAGGTGAGCATTGAAAGTGTAGCACCAATTAGCCACAAATTGATGTGGGACATATGGAGCATCTTCCTTCACACGACTATGAGCAGTTAAACCTTATGAAAAATGACTCAACAACGATTGTTTGATTATTTTGGTATTCGTCATCAATGTGATGGCCCCACTCAAGCCTCCATTCAGGAGACAGCTTTGACTTACTGGCCTTTTCTGCAATCATCTAAGAACATGACTTGAATGTTGATTTGAGTCTTTAACAATCACTTTTGTTGTAAAAAAATTTTTATAAGTAACTTCATTCCAATTAAAATTTATAATTTGATGATCAGCCCCCGGAGCATAGCTCAGTAGTGCAAAGGACGGGAGTGAGGTAGTCTCAGCTAAACTGGCAGCCGCAGTGTGAAGATTCGATTCCTGCCTCTTACAAGCTATGTATTTGGACTCTTTGTGGGTACTAGTATGACAGCTCTACTCTAGCCTGTTGAGGTACATCCCGCGATTTACCTCATCCACAATGCTCTAGGGATAGGGCGGTGGGGGGGGGAGTTCTAACCCCAAGTTGAATTATAATTTGATGATCAAATCGATTCCACGACCGTATTGAATGTTCGATACATTAATTACTTGAAACGTCCAAAAATGGTTGAAAACAAAGTGTTACGTAGAAGTAAGTTTTACTTGCTTTGCTTAGCCGAACATGGAAATTTACCGGTGCAATGAGGTTAATTTTCGTAATATTTAACACCGACCCAACCCCTGTTCAATAAAGCTATTTGTACAAAGTTGAATTACAAAAGTTGGGTTACAAAGTGTGTTGACAAAATTCAGACCTTTGATTTCAAATGATTTAAAAAT